AAGGCAGATTTCGGGTCAATCTCAGTTCACTTGCAAAAAGAGACATTAGCTACAAAATTTAATGTAAACAGTGTAATGGTATCTGCAGCTTGCTTTCAAATGCAGTGAAAAATACATTGATTAAAGCTAGATGGATAGATACTGGATAAAATAAATATAGCTAAATGTAGAATCACTATAATCTTACAGAATTTTAGCAAAATTCATTATAGAATGTAGCTGGTTCAATCTACAACTCTTCAACCTGAAAAGAATAAAGGTGGTAGGTCCCAAGATTAGTGTGGACTTGTACCTTAGCTCCCAGGTAGCATTTCGAGATGGTGTCAGTGGTGGCAGCTGTGTGGGACTTGGACAAGTTGGGCTCCTGACATCTCAGCAAGCTTCCCACACTCCAAACTGGGCAGCATGATAGATGCAGAGTCTTTGGGGGCCCAGAGAACAGGCTGCTCAGTGGTTAGTGTGTACAGAAGGAGAGGGGGAGAGGGTTGATCTGTGTAAGACTCTAAGGCTCATGAATAATTCTGGGAGGAAATAAAGTATCGCAGATGGGGAGAAAGTTGGTGGCTCAGGGTCAAAGACAATTTAAGAGAAGAAAGCAATACATTTCTGAAATGTCTGAGTTCATAGTGGAGATTCATGCTTGTGACCTAATATCGAACTTGTTTGCCGCTTGGCCTGCCCATCCAGATTTAAAATATTCCACTTTCTTCCTCATGGGACTTTTCATAGCTTCTCTGTTTTTCTGGAGACATAAAATCTGAGTTAAATAATCCAGTAGAGGCTTGTTCAATGCTGAAGAAGGCAAGGGAATGATTCTCTGGCTAGGTATAGCCATACCATTGTATCTTGGATTTGTTTGGATTTTTTTTCTCTGACTTCTGCCCAACTTGACATCCACTGTGCTTTCAGATCAATTTCTCCCACATGGAAGCAAATCTGGTTTTTCCTTCCTTTGAGTTATACTCTATTGGCCTCACTCACACTGCATCATGTCTTTAATATATCAAAGTCACAGTGTATTCTATTCTTGTCTTTGAGGACATCAGCCACCTTATCGACGCTTAATGCATGCAAATAATATTAGCCACTTAGAAACTCAGAGTTGGTCCCTGAGGGAGCTCACACCATTGTTTGGGCATAAACCCTTAGTAATGGGGAGGGTTCTGCAATGGCTTTGGTGCTCTCAGTGATGTTAGAGAATAGGCCGGGATGAAGCAAAAAAGGGTAAAGAAAGAACGAGGGAGAAAAAAGAAATGAGAGGAGAGATGGATAAGAAAAATGTACTGATGTATAGCACCAGTGGAGAGGTGATGAAGAATGTGAAGCATGCTCAGGGGCCTTCAAAAATGTCTTCTTGTGCCTCCTGGTGCTAAGTTCCCCCTTCATCTACAGAATACAAGCCCTAGTTTGTTGAGACTGTCCATAGGTACAGAATCAGAAGCCATGCCAAGGCACAAAGGTCATGTCCTCCCTGTCAGTTTATCAAAGGAATTAAATAGGCATGATTTTTGTAAAAAAATAAAGGATTGGTTGGGGTCCCGTGCAGTTGATGGTCTGGGGCATGGTAAACAGCTGGATTTTCCCCACATGAGTGGCATTTATTATATAAGACTGCGCGACTGGTCAATTAGTACTTGTCTCCAATTTGATGACATCTGTTGCTCTGAATCTGTGCATCTGGTTTTCGCCTTTGAGTAGTATGGTCAAGGGCATCCAAGATATTATGACACCCAGACAGAAGAGGGTGGTAGAATGCAGGCAGAGGTGGGGTTAGGCTTAGCAGGTAAATCACGGCAAAACTGGGGAGGCATAACAGGTCCTAGTGAGAATGGGAAAAGCCTCAGTGAGGAATGGGTGACTTCAAGTTGGTCTGGAAAAATTTATAGAAGAGAAATTGATGTCTAAGTTTGTAATGGAGATTCATGCTTATGACCTAATATTAAAGACTACCACTAAGTTGTTTGCCCCTTGGTCTGCCCATCCAGGTTTAAAATATTCCAGTTTCTTCCTCACGGGAGGACACAATTCTTCAAGGCACCCATTGTTCCGATCTATCAGTCAGTGACTTTAAAATTCTACATGGAGTTCCTCACCCCCACTTCAACTACCCATTTTGTAAATGGTGGATCCACATTAAGTTTATTTAAGAAAGGTAATCCACTGTGGAGTTAAAAAAATTCCATGGTCCTGGATAATGGCAAGCACACAAATCATCTGAATTATCTGGAGGTTTCGTTTTTCATGACTACATCAGCTCAGGAGCTAATCTTCGCAGAGTGCAGTATGCCTCCGAAGCTATTGTGTGTCAGGAAAGCCAACACTGAACTTATAAGCTGGGTTTGTGCCTCAGTCCTGATGCTTATTACCTGTGTAATTATGAGTTAGCCATTTATTTGCTTTTCCTAATCCCAAACTCAGGGTGCTACATACAGGAAGGAAAGCAAATTGTATTTTGTGAAAGAACTTGGTGGGTAAGTGCTCACTACCTTTTGATTGATGAAATGATGTTTGCTTGCCATAGATTATTGGAATCCTGGTACATATGATTATCACCCAGATTCCTTCAGGGTTTTTTTTCCTTTGAAACATTTAGAGTGCAAATTCTTCTTCAGTAATGGGAATAGTACTAAGTACACTGTAGTTGCCCATGAATATTTCATGCAGAGAATTGGCTTAGCTCTCAAATGGTGTCCAGATATTTTAACAGCCTGATCGAAAGAAATTTCAGGATTGTCGCTCTACCAAGTCCCAGGTTCCTGGCAGCACACAAAACGATCTCATCCCAGCCTCTCCCCACCTTAGCTTCATACTGAATTGTTTGCATTCTCTGGTACCCAACAGGCCTGCTAATCCTGGAATCCTTTTGTCCATGTCACTTCAAGCCTCAGCTCAGGCATCATCTCCTCAGACACCCCTGCTGTCATTTCCACACCAGCTGAGCTAAGGGTCTCTATGCCATGAGCTAGCTGGCTCACCTAAAATGCAGTGTACATCCACCTTTTCCCAAGGCAAGGGTTATCCTGTCTTACAGCGCCTGGCCCAGGTGGCAAGCGTTCCAGGAACGGGGACTTGAGTAAGATGACACTAATGACTGAATTTGGGACTTATGACTATTTAACTTGTGACTGGCTACTGCCAGTTCACATCTGAGAGCCAAAAATATCCACTTTTCTCTTCTCTGTAGTACCATTCTATCTAGATGTATTGAATGAAGCACTGAAAGTAATACAAGTCATTTTTACCATCATTTTGACTTTAGGACCATGCTATTCAAATTTGTAGACATTTTAGTGCCAACATTTGAATGAGAATATGCCACGACTGGGCCGGCCGAGTGGCGCGATGGTTAAGAACTGGCTTGGGACGCCAGAGGGCCCCGGTTCGGATCCCACATATGAGGGCCAGTGACACTGCCCTCTACAGCTAAGATGCTGAACAACAGCTCAACCTGGAGCTGGGCTGCTGTGAGTTGCTGGCGATGGCGTAGGCTGCAGCCCCTGTGGCAGTGGGTTGCCATGGGCTACCGTGTGTAGCCAGCAGCCAGCGTGAGCGGCCAGCAGCCACAGTGAGCGGCCATCCAGAGGCCGGTGACTGATCTGCCTCGCCCGGGAAGAGTGCAATGATGGTGCCAACTTGGGCCAGTGAAGCAATGTCCTCCACAACTAGACTGAAGAACAAAACGACAGCAACTTGTCTGTTCCCCTTCCCCCAATTCCCCAGCACTGTTCCCATCCCCCAAAATCCCCAAAAAAAATCTTTAAAAAAAAAAAAAAAAGAATATGCCACAACTGATGAGTTTTCCTTGAGCTGAAGGGGAGCTGGTAAGGGGGGTCACGTAGACGTTGAAAGCAACTTGTAGCCCACTGGTTTCCCCCGCTTCATCCCAGCAATGCATCCTCACCCGGAGGCCACAGCAGGAGCTAGAGGGAGGACGCTGATTTGCTTAGGAAGTGCATTTTATTCCCCACTAAAGCAAGCTGGCAGCACTAGAGGAAGTAGTGCCCCAATGAGAAGCACTAGAGCAAGGAGGCCCCATAGGGTTGGCAGCAGCAGGCAGGCAAGTAGAAGCTTTAAAGAGTAGGAATAACATCTGAAAGTATGAAAAAAGTGACAAAAACAGGCACACCCTTAGGCAAAGGACCCCACCAAGACCGCTGCCAGCTGCACCTTGGGTGTGTCCAGCATGAAAACCGTGTTGACAGCCTCCATGGGGTGGAAGGGCATCGCCTACTCTTGGGCTCAGCGCCTCTGGGTGCTCGGGCATCTCTTGCATGTCTTGCCCCACCACTACACGATACTTTGCTCAGCGATGCTCCTACTGTGCACAGCGCCCATGGCTTGCCACCTGGAATGACCATTGGCACTGCCCTCCTCCACCAAGTGGAGGATGACCACAGCCCCATTGCTCCATGCTTATGGTGACCAAGAAGATAGTTCCTGGCACTCAATCCATTATTGATTCAGCACTCCCTTGGGACATTAACAGAGCAAAGTTGGAAGACATGGGCGCACATTCCGAGTGCACACAGGGGCATAAAATGTTAACTCTCACTTCTAAACGTGGCATGGGAGGGTCGGATGGGTCAGTGATTGTCAGCTGGCAGGTAAGAAAAGTATAAGGAAAATGAGATCGAGTCTCTGTGGTAGCAACCCAAAACCTTTTTAGTTAAGACCACAATTGCTTGAATTACAAGTAGAATTCTATTAATGAAGTCTTAGTCAGTGGAACACTGACACGGTGGCATACATCAATCCTTCTTTAAAAATGTTCTAGAAATCCAATTAATGAGGCTGGTTCGGTCAGGTATTAAAGTACATTGATGTTAGTCCTAACCTATGGTGCACCAATAATAATCTAACACAAGTTTTCTTTTTAAGGATTAGGAACCTTTGTGCATGTGTGTTTGAGTGTGGGGAAATGAGAAGAGGCAGTTAGAGAACTTTGTTCCTTCTGTTGACAGAAAAGGGCCAACAGACACAGGCCACAACCAGTCAAGAGGTTAGAGAAACTTGTTATTAAATTTAATTTCCTTTAAATACATACCTTCTCCCACCCTCACCCACTCTGAGGAGGAATGGAAACCCCCACCCTCTCCATCTGGGGGATTCCATACATAAAGCCTGAGATGGTGAGGATGAAGTATAAAAATACTATTTACACAGGGGAAGAAGGCATCTGTTGTTACCTTAACCTTCAGACACCTGCATCCCCAGGCCCCTTTTGCTCCTTTAGAAAAAGCCCCTGGAAATCCATTTGAGCGTAGAACAAGCCCTTTCTCCGGAGGGGCACTCCAATAGGAAGCTCTCTGAGATTAACTGAGGAAGAGAGTGAATGGATAGCACCTCAGACCCTAACAGGGGGAGGGCACTGACCCTCCATTACCCTGTAGCCAGCAGGCTGGCCAGCCAGCCTGTTTCCTTAGGTCCCATGTAAACATTGACTTTGCTTTTTCATATGTCCCTGCTCTTCCTGATATTCCTACAGCGCCTCCCTGACTTCCACTGGAGGCACTTGGTTCCTTGATCTTTTTCATTCCTTCCTTCCTTCCTTCCCTTCTAACCTGCCTATGGAAGGAGTGGGCAGGAACGGAGGGCAGAGCCCACCTCATCCCTTCTTCTAGGGCAGTTTTTCCTCCTAAAAGGAACTTGCAAGGGGGGTGCTCCAAGTTCTTGACCAGACGGGTGGATTTCTTTCCCCAGAGCAGAGACAAGGCAGGTAAATAGTCCAGTACTAGGATACATTGGTCTTGATGGGTGATGCTGTCAGTACTGAGTAGCAGGGAAGAAGACTTCAGGAAGCAAGAAGGTGGGGGCAAGTCTGGTCTCACCCTAATGGTGGGAGACCAGCCCTGCACTCCCTCCCTTTCAGGTAAGTATGACCATTACCACCCAACAGTCTTGTTCCTTGCAGCTATGCAAAGGGACCAGGCACCCACGAGGCAAGAGGTCTTCTCCAGGCCTTGGTGTAGAGGCAGCAGTCACACCAGCTCATCCAACAGAATCCCGATGCTCTGAGTGGCCTCTGCGGGGCCAGCGATGGGCTTGTTGCACATAGGGCAGACACAGCGCACTTCTAGCCACTTCACCAGACACCTGCAGGCAAAAGAGACTCAGATACCCCAATGTGCCCTGGCTGGCGGTCAGAGAGCCCAGCTGGCTCCTCAGAACAAACCATCTCTGTCCTGGCCCCCATCTAACCCCTCCAGCTTGACTGCTATCCAGACAGGATACAGGCAAGGTGGGAGAGGGTACAGACTGGAGGTTATAGAAGATGTTTCTTGCTCATTTCTTTTAAAAGTCACCCCTGGGCACACATCCCCACTGGGGATACTTACTTCCGATGAAAAGCATGTTGGCATGGGAGCACCCCTAACTCATCCTTCCCCTTGAAGTCTTCTAGACAGACTGCACAGGTCTGCTGTGGAAAGAACGGCGGCAGCGTGAGATCGGGGAAGAGCCTCACTCACCCAACCTAAACACACATTATCTTGAACCCATCCAAAAAACTAAGTTCTAGCACAGCTCCCTTATCATCCAGAGAAACTCTGGTCATATTTTATAAAATTACATTGACAGTATGGTAGCAATTAACCACATGTGACTGTTATTTAAATTAACCAAAATAAAATGAAATTAACATTTTAGTTCTTCAATTGCACTAGCCGCATTTCAAGTGCTCAAAGGCCACAGTGTAGCTAGCAGCTCCCACATTTGACAGTGCAGATACAGAACATTTCTAGAACCATTGGAGTTTCCACTGGGCAGTGCTGTTCTAGAAAACTGGTTTTTAATCCGTTGTAGGTTCATACATTTGGCAAGGGGAAACATATCAATAATTAGAGGTAAGGATGAGAGGGTATGGTGTATGTGGTCAGTTATATTCTTTAAATCCAGGCGTATGTCCCTATATATTAACCCCTCAATGTCAACTGAATTACTCTTTTAGAGGAGGGCTTAGAAACATCTGAACTTGCTGAGATGTAGTGATGTATCAAAAACAGGGACAACGTGTGGCCATTTCTAGGTAGTCTTGCGTCTAAAATACCTGTGATCCTCCCTGCTCCAGACAAGCACACACTCTGTGCAGGAGTGTCCGTGGTTATGGAAGGAAGCCTTGGAGAATGAGTTAGGTGACCTCAACAGCATTGTGGGAAAGGAATGGGAAACGGCCTGTTCCTGAAGAGTGAGTGTTGAGGGGAACGCAAGGAATTGGTGTGTGTGGGGGGAGCCAGAGGGAAGGATGCACTAGTCAGATCCATAATCTGCTAGGACAGCGTGTATACAAGGGTAAAAGGACCTTCTTCTCTTTAATGAAAAACCAAGACGTGGGTCTGCACATGGGAACGTTAGCTGCAATCCGGCATGGAGCGGTATGACCCTCCTCCCCTAAAACATCATGCCTAGCAGGCTTCTTGGGGCCACGTGTCACCACTCATCCAAACCCTTCTGTGACCCCTTTGTTTTCTGCCAACTCTGGTCCCAGACATAATGAATTCCACCCATTGATTACGTGCTGGGATGAGTGACTTTTATTTGGCCCAAGGAGATACAAAGGCAGGCACTCAAAGACTAAAAAGGTCCCTGAAAGGGTCCAGGCTGAAAGCTGGAGACGGTACCATTTGCTTTACCCACTGGGGCCCTCAGACATGCTGTCCCAGTACACTCACCCCATATAATTGTAACTTCTTGGCATCACCTTTAAGCACCACCTAGAAAGAAGAGACATGGTGTTAGAAGAAAGCAACCACAGGGGCCAGGTGGTATCGACCGATGACTGGAGTCCCCAGCAACGCACAGCAGCACCTCCCTCTCCGTCTCATAAAGGGGAGGGCTCTGAGCACTGCCTGGCCAATCAGACTTGAGGACAGTGAAGGGAGTTGGTCCCAGAAAGGGCCAAGGGGGAGGCTGAAGGGAATTCCAGGCCAGGACAGCTTAGGCTTGTTCTCCATCCGCATCTTTAGCAGGACAAGGAGCAGAGGAGTGAAGTCTCAGGGAAAGATGTGCTGTTTTACCTCCTTGTATCCGTATCGTTCACTCTGTGCCTGGTTCCGGAGTTTGCTGGGGGAGAAAAAAAGGGGAGAGAAGGGGTTACTTTGCTCAAACAGAGCCATTCCGAGTAGGAGAGGCGGGCTGGCTGCTTGGCATTATTCTGGAGGCAGACAGGGGTGCTCCCCATAGGGGTGTCTCGTCTCAGAGACCATGGGGTATGGTTTGGGCCTATGCAGGTCACCCAGAGTGGATTAAGAATTCAGGCTGTTCCTCAGGCTCAACAGCCTCAACATTTACTGCCCGGCCCCACAGATTCTCTGGCAGAGCACCCCGAATAGTTCACTCTCCCTGCCGTTTTCCAGTACGTAAATTTCTACAGACTCCCAACTACAGAGGTCAACAATTGCTTATTGAATGTATAGAAGAAGTGAGATATTCTTAAAAGGGAGATTTCCCTGAAGCCAGGGTAGCAGAATACATAAATCTGTTGACCCTGGGGAATTTTCCACCCGGAGAACACGAATATTCTGAAACCAAAGCGCACTCTTCCCTTCACAGTGCCAGGCAAACAAAGGCGGTCCCTTCTTTCTTCTCTTCTTTTTGTTTTAGGCTGGTGGCCTGCATGCAGCCTCACTCTCAATAGCCCAGACCAGGCACGATGTTACTCGTGGCAATAGCATCCTCATTATGGAGGGCTTGCTAGGCATCGATTCCTGCACCAACACATTCACATATGTGCTCCAAAACATTCCAAACGACCTTATAGGGAGATACTTTCCTTTTTACAGATCAGAAAAAAATGAAGTCCAAAAACGTTAAGTAACTCGCCCAAACTTCAGAGCTAGTTGGCGGCTGAGTCTGAATTTGAATCGAAGTCTGATCACAGAGCCCAAGCTCTTTAGCTCCTTCTCAGTGAACAAGCCTACAACTCTCAGCTCCCTGTGCAAATGGCTGGGACCGAGATTAAGAATCTCTCCATCTAGTATGTGCCATTTAATTTTTCAGTAAGGGAAACCTTCCGACTTCTACAGGCAGCTCTGTGGCCTCCAGTGTCTGGGCGCCATATGGAGATTTCTCTCCCACTGGTCACCTCTCTCACAGGCCTAAGTCATTGGAAGGACGCATCCAAAACCCACCAAGTTAGAGGAGGTGTGGCACTCTCTGGTCTGAGGGCCAGATCCAGCTGACCGCTTGTTTTATAAGGCCGATAAACTGAGAATGGTTTCTTGGATGGTTAAAAGTAGAAATCAAAAGAATGTTTCATTTTATGTGACAATTATATGAAGCTCAAATTTCAGTGTCCATAGAATTGTACTGGAACGCAGCCACGCTCAGTTTACATATCGTCTGCGGCTGCTGTGCACAGTAGAGACCGTATGAGACCTGCAAAGCCTAGAACAGCTGACCTTTTGCAGAAACAGACAGCTGATCTGAGTTAAGAGGAAGAGCATCTCAAATCACAAGCCTCCTTCCAAGGGCATGAGGTAAGATGCTCCATGGGCATGGAGAAAAGCTGAAACTGCTACCAGGGTGGTGAGAGATGCAGAAGGGGGCGTGCAGCCATGCCCAAAGCAGGAGGGGACAGGTAAGGAAGATCAGGCTGCCAGCCCATCTCCATCGTTCTTAACAGGGAGTCCAGGGACCTGGCCAGGCCACATGTGCTGAGAGCCTCTTAGGAACTTCAGTCTAAGTGACTCCTGCCACAGGGTTGAGGCCTGCCTGGGGCAGCACATCACTGCCCCCTTTCTCTTCCCTCATTGGAGGGTTTCTGGTCATTGAAGGATTGGGTTCAAGGCCTAACCAGGGCTCCCACTGTCCCATCCTTCACTTTGCACTTTCATATACTCGTATACACACGCATCTCTGTCCCCACTTCCAAGTGAGGGCAGGGAAGGATGCATCCAAAGCTCATATGAACAACTGTTACCTGACCGACATTGAGTTAAGCTGGAGAAGGCAGAAAGTGTATAGTCAGTGTGTTCACAGCCACCTACCTTCTGAGGGAGACGCTGTGGCTGTTACCAGGTTGTGTGCAGAGTAAATAAGGAAGTGGTGAGGAGCCTGCTTCTTAACTCAGAGAGTAAGGGCATGCCACACATCCTGTGAGCCTCAACTGCAAAACAGCTATAATTATGGAGTGTGTGCAGTGCCTTTCCGCCTGCTATATCATAGGATGCCTGGGGATCCCTCCAACCCCACCCTCCTCCCTTTTGTCTGCTGACTCCCTTTAATGGCCTGGCCCAGGGAAAACTCTAGAAACCTGACTCTCAGAGCCCAAGAAGCTCAGGACAGTGAGGGGCTTCGGAGCTGCATCTTCACCCCACATGTAGATTTATGGATCAGGTAGTTACTGATTGTGATGAAATGGGGCCCACAAGGTTGCAAAGGAAACAAAGCAAAAGGCAAAGGACTCAGGGCCATCCCAGCAGGGGATACGGTGCCAACAACTCTGGACAGGTGGCCTTCTCAGCTGCTGGGTGAGCAAAGCAACTAAAAATACCCTGATTCCAATGACACCATTTTCTAGCCACTGCCACCGGGCTTTCCCTTTGCTTCTTTTCCCTTTTGAAACAAACAATGCAGCCAGGTCCTGAAAATAATTGCTCCTTTCCTGCCTATTTGTACTTCGCTGGCCCCTCCATCCTGTGTAGGGCAGAGGTCAGCCCCGGGGGGAGTGGGGGCGAATGAGTGAGGGGAGCTAGGAGTGGAAGCTGGCCTTGGCCAATGAGCTCACCAGGTCATGAGCTAGGGTCATGGGTCTATTTTGGCTGAGAAGGAAACCAAGAAGCAGGGAGAGGAAGTGGCTTCTGTGCTTGTGTGTCTTTCTATATATAGACACCCACAGCCTGCCACACACCAGTGAGCCTCTGGAACGATGAAACTGTGGGGTCAACTGGCTTTGGGCAGGCTACAGAACAGAGGGTGGGGCGGTGAAGGGACAGATTACTGCTGTAGAGGCAGGTGGTGCTGAGCAGCCCCAGTGGAGAAAGCTTTTGGCATCCTGTGGTTCTGCTGTTCTGTTCTTTCAGTCCAGCCAAACATTAATCAGCCATAACCAGCTCTCCAGCCTGTCCTGCAGGACCCCAGTCTCTAGCTGTAAGGGGGTGGCCATGGATACCATAGCTGCCCCACCTCTTCCCATTCAAGGAATAAGAATCAGAGAAGGCAAACATATGGAATCTGAAAGACTCTAGTTAATTGTCAGCAGACTAGTCCACCTCTATATATCCCATTATACCTGGCCCTGGGCAAATCCTTAACTGCCAGAGCGTGACCTTCCTCATTTATAAAGTGGGCTAATACCTAAACTGGAGGGATGTTCTGAGGACTAAGTGAACTAAATATTTTATAAAATGTTAACCATGATGCCTGGCACACAGGTGGCAGTCAATGAAGAACAGCTAAAAATCTAATGCCATACCTGTTGGTGGTATCATTAGGAAATGAACCTGGTCACCCACATACTGGCCCAGAGTGATTTTCTAGGTTTTCTTCACTTGATCACCTTTGTAGCTTGCCATGTGTGTATGTGTGTAGGGACCAAATAGAGCTGGTTTTACAGACTTCCTCACAGCATCATACACAAGTCTTTGGTATTTGGAATGTCTCCATCTTCAATCTTTGGGGAATTGCATAAATTGCTTGATATGGGGAGATGGGGTCGTTGATGGTCAGAAGACAAAAGAGTTTGAGAAAGCAAATTTAGGTTTGGGAAAACAAGAGGAAGTGGGGAGATACCAGAAATCTACCCTCACCCCCACCTCCCACTTATTAGTTAGACACAAATTTTAGGCTCAGTTGTACAAGAGAGAAAATAAAAGCCTTTGCAGAGAAGATAGTAGCTTGAGTGGAAAATTCTAGTCTTAGGGACTTTTTAAAATGAAGAACTATTAATACCAAAAGCATCCCCTTGTCAGAAACACTACTTTAATTTCCATTCTAAATACCAGTCATGCCCCAAATTTCTGGTAGAAAACAAGCACCCGTTCCCATGTCTTATCAACAGGAGAAGAAACAGTTCCTGGAGCTTGGCTAGCCCTGCAAGCTCCAGCCCTTCCCTGGATCCCTGTGCAATATGAGTAAGTAACATTTTTACTTTTTTCACTCTCAAAAATAAGAGCTTAAAGGCAGAAAAAACAAGCAGCTCTCCAGACATCAGCTTGCTAATATTAGCTAGCATCTGGTGGGTTGACAAGAGGGTTTCCCAGGAGAGCAGAGGTATGTGCCACTGGGGTAACTCATGTCCACGTATTCCCCGGCTACCCAGAGTGTATAAGTGGGGAGTAGAGAGACAGTTCAGGGACCACCAATGATATTACTTGGTCAAAAAGTAATTCTAGGCAACCTTAGAATAACTGGCCAAGAGGAGGGATGCAGCCCAACCCACGGTGACCTTATATGCTCTGGGACAACTTGCTTGATAGGCTGATGTAAATAGAAACACCAGACCTCAGGGGCCCAGTGAAGGGCAGGCTAAGCCCTGTCCCCAAAGCAGGGGCCCCCGTGGGAAGTGAGTGACTACTGTGGGAGTCTCATCGGCTCACCCTACCTCTGGCCTCCTTCCTGACTCCCCACCCTGGCTCAGCCAGGGAGCCACCCACCTGATGAAATAGCAGCAGAAGATGAGGCTGAGCATGAAGACAAAGATGCCTGTGCCAAAGATGACCATGTAGATGTTGAGGGGAAGGTCTTGGAAACTGATGGGTGGCATTGAGCAGGACTTGTTAGTACTAACCAGTCCCAGGCCGCAGAAACACCCTGCAAAAAAAGGGGGAGGAAAAATAATATTATCGTTGGAAATTTACCACTGGGGCTGATGGTACTGTGTCAGCAAGGATGGAGAGAGAACCGGCAGGATCCGGGCTCCTAAACCTGGTTCAGGGGCTGAAGTTTATATCTTAGCTCTAACACTAGCTACGTGACCCGTAAGTTATTGAACCAATCTATGAAATGGACTACTACACATAAGTCCTTAAAACAGCATCCTCATCGAGGGGATCAAGGCTTCAGGAAATGGACAGAAAAATGGAAACACTTCCATCAGGTAGAGCCCATATGGTATAGTAGCAAAATGAAAAAAATTTAGGTGAAAAAAACACATTGGGTGGTCGGAAAAGTCATGACTTTTTTTTCTATGTTTTTTGTTGCAAAAATGTGCCATGACTTTTTCAACCACCCAATATATTATTTGGGTTACAACTCCGCCTCTCGCTAACTGTGACCTTTACAAAGTTACCTCTCTAAGCTTCACTTTTTCATATGAAAACAAGGAATAGACAGGACTGAAAATGGTGTAAGAAATATGATTTGTAAATTGTAAAGTGCAGCTGCAAAGGACATTTGTCATTATTAAGTCACCTGCTCCAGGAGACAAGCTTCATCAGAACCAGAATAAAAATTGTTCACTCCAAGGCTAGGCCAGTGTTTCAGAAAGTAGGGTGCGTGTATGTGGTGTGTGTGTGTGTGTGTGTGTGTGTGTGTGTGTGTGTGTGTGGAATTTGCAGCTTACTTTTACTGCCACCATTCCCCTTTCTACTCAGAGCCTCACTGTGCAGTCCCCTAGTATCAATGACATTCCCTGAGCTTGTTTGAAATGCAGAATCTCAGGCCCACCCCAGACAAAATGAATCAGAATCTACATTTTCACAAGGTCTTCAGCAGATTTCTGTACATTCAGCATGGGAAGCACTGGCTAGCCACCAGATGCATCCACATCTCGTATGACTCAGGGGTAAATCCTGATGGGTCTACCAGTCATGATGGTTACTTTCCCCTTGCCAGGGTTTGGTGATGAGTTGGATATGTGACAGAGTTCTGGCCAAAGAAACAAACAGAACGTTTGCTGGAAAGGAAAGATTTTTCGTTTTTGGTCACATCTTGAAACACCTGGAATGATGGCAGCCAAGTCATAGCTGGAAAGGGAGCAATTCAATACAAAGCTGGTGACAGAGAGAAAGGGAAAGAGGAAGAAAGAGGAACAATAATGTCAGGTGAGTTGCTAGATTAACCAACCCTGGAGCCACTCTATCTTGGGACTACTGGTTGTGAGAGTTAGTAAATGTTCTGTAATATTTAGCCATAAGGGGGAAAAAAGATAGGACGTAAACAAGTTAGGTGTTTATTCCTGCTTGCAGGCAAAAATACCATAGTGATCCAAAAGGTAGGCATAAAATTCTTGGATTTCAGAATGTGGGGAGACAAGAAATCTAGAATTTACCACGTACCTGCTACATCTCAAGCACATTCTCATGCTACCAATTTAATCTTAAATGACTTAATCACAAAACTGTCTATAGTCCAACAGTTAACAAGGCCGGGCTCCAAAGACCCAGTCTATACTCAAGCCTTCAACATGGGTTTAAGAACTTTCCTGACATCTTGGTTGGGAGCCAGAACCCATCAATATACTTCAGAATTCTACATTATAATTATTAGTGCTACCACAACTAAAAGACTGGACGTCATCTTTGACATCATACATCTCATACCTCTTTATCCCCTAGATCAGCGGTTCTCAACCTTTCACAGGGGTCGCCTAAGACCATCGGAAAACACATAATTTTCGATGGTCTTAGGAACCGAGACACTGCTCCTTTATCCATCTCCAGGCCCACATGCAGATACACCCACATACGAGTACCCAGCGACCCCTGTGAAAGGGTCGTTCGACCCCCAAGGGGGTCGTGACACACAGGTTGAGAACCGCTGACCTAGATCAATCTGTGACCATACAGTGAGCCTCCCTATAAACCTCTTTCCAATTTTGTGCCCAATTCTATTGCAAAGTCCCTATTTCAAGCAGATTTTAGGCCCAATTCTATTCCAAGTCCCAATTCCAGACACCTAATTGATGTCTAGTGCCTCGTCTAATTTAGCCCACATGTCTGTCATATCCTACCACTGGGTTTCTATCATGCATTTCCCAAACTCATGCCTGGCTTCAAGTCCTCCTAAACATATATGCACTGGGTCCCCTTCTCAACCTCTCTGCCCCCATGTCCTCCAGCACCACCCCATGTGGGCCTGTCTCCACACTACTCCAGTGATCCCTCTCTTCCCTGAATTCTAGTGCTCAGAGCCCTATCACGGGTTCTGGCTCTTGCATACTCAGTGATTGTCATACATTGCCCAATTGTTTCTAGTATTAACTTAACTCAAACATGCATTAAGCATTGATTATATGACAAGCACCATGACAGACACTGAAGATAAAAAAGCAAGGAAGTAGGGCCGGCCGAGTGGCTCAGTTGGTTAAGAGCACGCTCAAGAGTTTGAGTTCTGAGCAACAGCGGTTCGATGCCCGGCCCGAGCTGAGCTGCTGCTGAGCTGCCAACAGGTTTGTCAGCTTAAACAAACAAACAAACAAAAAGCAAGGAAGAATTACTAGATGGTTTTACCTTCAAGGGAAGACACACACAAAGGTTTTCACCAAAATGAGGCCTCTCTGTAGAGGCACTACCACAGTCCTGAAATCAGAGATGAGAGTCCTAACAAGCCTGAGGACAGCTGTTTGGACTTTTGTATATTCTCCAGTGCCTAGCCTAGTGTTTGATAATTAGTTAACAGATAAATAACTCCCAGTGTTCTCAGAATAACCTGGTACCCTTGGCAAAAGCTCCCACTTCAAAGAAGATTGATGTTTGGGAAAACTGCCCAGAAATTGCCCTCAGCTAATGGATGATCAGTCAGTCACCAAGAATGCAGAGGGCCTGATTTATGCGCTGACCTAGACATTGTGGGGAAACAAAAAGTAGAAGTGGCTCTTGTTCTCAAGGACTTTTTGATTATGCTGAAAATAAATAATTAGCTACTAAACTTTGCTATGCTCAACAGGAAGCCCTTGCTTTTAGGCTCCAAACAAGGGTTAGGAAGTTTGACCACCCCTCTACCCTCCACTCAAATTTCTGCTCTCTGTAGGCCCAAGGAAAAGAAATTTTTCATGATGACATCATGGTGGACTCATCTATTCTGGAAAAGGGCCTTAGGGCTTCCCTTCCAGGAAACTGTGTCCTCATTGCCAATGAGGACTTCCTCCCCAACCAGGTGTATCTCCCCACCTGCCCCCCCCAACCCCACCCCCCAGCAATATTTGATGCTATAAGAGGATCTAACCCACAATCTGCCTTGGCTTCCTATTCTGGGAACCTGTAGAGTGGTGACAGGAGCCACTGCAGAGGGTATGTGTGTGCATGCTGCAGGCACTCTGGCCTCAGCAGCCCCCTCACCGGTTTATCTTGACCATCTGATCTGGAAGATAGAGGCTTTCCCTGGGGGCTCCAGGAATGGGTCAGTGAGTTAGGACTTGATGTGATAAAGAGCTGTGGGTGAGAAGAGCTTCATAGCCAAGGGATGGTCCATATATATAGATGGTCTAAAAGCTGACAGTGGAGTACTTTTTCCTCTAAACCTTATAAGGACACAATACCAACCCCAGGTAAGAGGGACTCCAGATATTTTTCGATAAAGGGTGAGGTGAGGGATTGCTTCTTCATCGGAGTCAAAGAACAGGATCTTTCAGTCACTTTAAGAAGTAAAAAGATAAAGCAGCAAGTCCTCTGCTGGCCTAAAAACCTCCTATGAAAGAGAGCTGCCCAGAATCAAGGCCAGTGTGACTGACGACTCCTTGGTTCTTCTCCTGAAGTCTCTGTTCCATTGTCTCAGCCAACCTATGAATGCCTTGACATCAGAATGTTTTATCTAAGTGAGCAGGCTGGGATAGGGAATGACGTCAAGAAAAGGGCTGGCCAGAAAGACCAGTGGATCTGGGAAACGCTTCTTCCCAGCCAACTGGAATCTTTCCCAGATGCTGGGATGCTCGGTCCTTCCTCGCCCCCATCCTCCACCCTCTCCCCCGCAGTGCCCGCCTATCACACACAGCTTGGTTCATTTTCAGGAAATTAGATCCTACTAGCAAGAGGAAGAGGGGGGTGTGGGGGGGTACTCATACATATGCTGCCCAAACCTTGCCTTAAACAAAAGCCTGTTGAAATAATTAATCCAAGATCTGGCAGGAGTCTGCTCTCAAGAATGAATTTTCCCTAACTAACCAGCCTGCCATATTCAGAGATAAGACTAGCCACTCCCCCCACCCCACCTCAGCTGTTCAAGCATTAGAACTAGGCGGTCAAGACCCTAGGGCAATTGGAGGGTATTAAGATCCAAGGTTTTGAAGAGACCCGCTCAGGGAGGCCCTCCTTTCAGGTAGCTTGCGTGAGGAATTAGACCCAAGCTCAACCTGTTGTCACCTGAAACGCAAAACAAGCCTCAGGTGAGACAAACTTAGCATCACCCAGGCCGGGTGGGGGATGGGGGTACGGAATGGGGTGGGAGAGGTGGTTTGGGTTTGGTGGTGCGGCTCCATCGAGGCTCGGGAGCTAGGACCGAAGTCGAAGTCGGGCCTTAGGGCCAGAGAGCACACAGCTCCCGCCAAGGCTAGCCCTACACCCAAGGAGAGCAGGACGCCGAGATATCTGCAAGGCTTTATCAACTCCATAAAGCCACGCTCTTTAATCTGGCATTTTCCACTGGCACAAAGCCCCCTGGAAGCCAGGGCGAAGCCAACAAAGACACAGAGGAAGCTACCCCCGGGCCGTCCCGCACTGTATACATATTTAAAATAGCCTGAAAGTTTCAGGCTGGGAACTTGAGCTCCCTCTAGATCCGAGCTCGAGCGCGGATTTAATGCTCCTCCGACAACCACAACAAAGAACAGAGTTTGAGCGCACAAAGGCAGGGGAAGCGGGTAGAAGAGCGAAGCCGCCACACAAAGGCCGCGAACCCCGCGGCTCCCATGTCGCCCGCCCCCCCGCGCACGTTCAGAGACCCTTCCCGGCCCTTGACTTAAACCAGGACTTTTTTTTTTTTTCCAAATTCCGCGCTGTGCAGAACAGAGTCGGGCACAAGGACGTACCATTTCATGAGAAACTTGGCTCGAGGAGGAGAACGAGCCTCTGTGTGATCTTAAGCCTTGCGCTCGGGTCCTGGTCTACGGCCAGCCCAGCGCCCTTCCGCCCTCCGGCCCGGGGACTCACCGTTACACCACTGGAATGGGTGCATCAATGAACTCGCGGCTGGCTTCCTCCCTCAAACGAACGCAGGCGGCGGGTGAGGCAGGCGGGGTGGGCGCACCGGCCTGCAGGTCCGCAGGAGGGGCGGGTGCAGCCCGTGGCAGCCGCCTTTCTCCAGAAGTCGAATTCCCTCCGGAGTGGGGGGCTTCGGCCTGGCCGGTTTTAGAGCAACAAAGAGGAAAGAGGAGAAAACACACAGAAAGTCCCCCGAATCAAAGCACCGCCGAGGAAATGCAGGAAGAGCGCCGGAGCTGGCGAAGTGAGGTGCCACAGAACCCGGGGGGGTGCCAGCCGGCAGAGGCTCTCGGCCGCGAAGGAGGGAAAGAAAGCCTTAGCGGGAGACTCGGCTCAGGTCCCACAGCACAGACAGCAGAGGGTAGAGACTCCCAAACTGACACGGACTACACACACCCCCTCCCTTATATTGCCCCTGGGAAACTCCGCCCCCAGCCGGTCACCCGCCCTCCGGCCAATGGGAGCCTTCCTCCTGGCCCCCGGTATTATTTGCAGGCCCGGCCCCCCGTCCCAGTGGGGAGCGTCTTTGCAAGGTATGGCTCCTCCGGCTTTACCTTCACTGTCCTGGGAAAACTTGTCTAAATAGAAGCGCACTGCGCGGTGAGATGGGCCGAGCTGAGGGGACCAGCCTCCTCCGCCAGGGACTTAAGAGGAAACTGAAAAATTAGTGCCACATTGTTTTCTGCCTCCAGATCTGTTACTGTTTAGCATTACTATAGTTGAGAAACCAGTTCTGAGGAGTGGTTCTATTTCTGCTCGGTAGGCAAGGTCTCGGTCCTGAATGGCGGCTAGCACACTGCAAAACGGTGGGGTGGGTGGGGGAGCTGCAGCAAGACAGTAAAGAAGTTGAATTACAAAAGTGAGAGCTGGAAATCGAAGCTTTACTTGTCATCTCGTTTTTTGGCCAGCCTCTCATTTTCTAAGAAACTAAGGCCTGAATCTTAAGTTTAATGTTGTCCACATAAGAAACATCCAAACCTGTAGAGAGTTTTTATAAGAGTTTATTTGAGCCCAAACCGACGACAGTTACAAGAAGCAAGATCTAAAATGCTCTGGAGAAGAACAGTTTTGCTGGTTGTTTGTTTGTTTGTTTGTTTGTTTTATGCGTTCGAAATAAAGCAGGGGACGTAAGGAAGATTACATGAAGGTGGGAGAAAACAAGGTGAGGGTTAGATGACCAGGTAGTTAAGATTCTGTGCTCTCTTGAGAGTGGTTATGTATTAGAAGGAGGGATCTGAAAAAAGAGGCATTTCAAAGGTGTGTTAACCTAGATGCACAGAAACAATGGACAGGGCTTGCTTAAGGCAAAGGTAAATCTTTTACTATAATAAAAAGTTATATGCCTGGGTTGCGACTATCCAGCATGACCTGCCCATTGCAAATTCCAGTTAGGAATTTATTATTTATTACAGCACCCTTTGTCATCCACAGTGTAGACTTGTCAGGGCTCCATGCTCCTGAATAACGAATCAAATCCAGGAATCAACACTGGCGATACCTTAAGGGGCAGTATCTTCAGCATCTAGCACCGTGAAGGTGTTGAATGAGTAATGCTTGGAAGAAACTGAAACTCTTAATTCTCCTGCACAGTATGATTTCTTTTACCTAACATTGCAGTGTTTCTTTCTCTTTTTTCTTTTTGTCTTTTTTTTCTTTCATTTATTCAGAATGTATTTATCATGAGCCTACTTTGTGCCAAGCACCTTTGCACCAGAGACCCATCAATGTCAGCAAGGTTTCTACTCTCCTGGGATTCTACCCTCTCCTGTGAGGAGACAAGACAGCAAACAAGCAAGCAAACAAATAAGAATGACTCAATTTAATCTTCCTACTAAACTTAATCTGTCAGTTGAAGGTGGTAAATACTTTCCCTATCTTGGGAACTTGTGACACTCAAATAAGATTTGCATATTAGTGCTTTATCATTTAAAAGCATGATGTTAAGGTATCAAATGACTTGGCCAAGATCCACATCATCGGTCTGCAACAAATAGTGTAGCACTTAATTATGCAATTGTCTGAAAACAATTGTGTTTATTTATGAGCTAGTCTGGAAGGGCATTTTGTACTGATCCAACTCAGCTCACCTCCTAACTGAACAATTGCAAAAGCTTTCTGACTGGCCTCTTTGACTGGGTCTTAGACTTTGGAGCACAAAAGAATCACTGCTGTGTTCAAGATGTGACATACACAGGCTCCTAGGCCTGGAGAGCAGAGATTCTGATTCAGTAGTTAAAGGGTGGGCCCCAGAATTGTTCATTTAACATTCCTTGTCCTCCAAAATTCGCATGCAGTTATGCAGAGAGGAATAATGCTCTGATTTTAATCTCAAATTCATCTTCTTTGCTGGCCCCAGAATTATCTTTCTAAAACATAAATCTGATCATTTATTTCTCTAGCTTAATAACTTTTATTGGTCCCTGGGGTTTTTAAGGTAAAGTCAAACTCTAGAATATGGCATTTAAATCATTTCAGTCTGGCGCTTGCCTGTCTTCCTGACACCAAATGCACTCTCCTTCCCCACCTGCTATTCATCAGCCATGAAGCTTTTGTTGTTCCTTGAACACAGTATATTCTTTCTTGAGTGATTGTGCACAAGGTATGACATGTTTGAATGCCCTTTTTCTTTCTGTGCCCGACATTTTGTAAGATTGAGCTCAAAATTCACCTCTTCCGTGGCCCACCATTTCCCCCCTCTGCATCTCTTTCAATACTTTTCAGTGTATGTTATGGGATTATAAAGATAATTATGTGATTCCCTGAATTTGATCCCTTCATGAGTCTTCCTCAGAAGAGATTTTCCAAGGGCATGAACCATTTTTGTGGTGGTTCCACTGTCTGGTTCAATATGTTTGGAATGGATGTGCGTGCATACATTGTGTATAAATTACCATACGACTTAAACTCTGCTCTAGGTATAGTGTAGAGGATAAAAAAACCACATAATTGTTACTTATGAAATAGTTCATATTCATTGGCTCAGGGAAAAGGTGAGCCTAATTGCATTAAAGAGTTCCTTCTAGGTGCCTCTAGGGCACAACTGTAAAAGAGGGAGAGCCTTGGAAGGGAAAATTCAGAGGAAGCTAAGAATGTCTCCTCCCCATCTTAGACTAAGGAGCTGATGTGGGAAGACACCTTGAAAGCAGGAACAACGGAAGTTCCCCTGGAAACCAAGCTGGTCAAGCAGGACAGTGTACACTTCGAGTGGCACCTACATGGCCCCTGAGTACAACCATCAGAATGTTCTATATCAATTCATATTTTAAGCCTGACATGTTAGGCATTCAGTAAGATCTTCTGAGGTATTTAAGGTCTCTAGTTTAGAAAAACAGATGCATACCTTCCTAATGTCCCACTCTTATCTCGCCTGGCCATTGTGGCGAAGAGGCAGTGCCTCAGGCGATGGCTTAGACTGGGAGATGCAGGTTGAAGAAGGGCCTTTCAGGCGATGGCTTAGACTGGGAGATGCAGGTTGAAGAAGGGCCTTGGTCTTGGACATTTTTGAAAAGGTTGGTTCAGTTCCAGCATTTTCCTATTAAAGACAAGTTGATTTCTCACATCATGTTGATACAATTTAGATAACTCACCCCACCCCCACCCCAACAAGATGATGCTTCATAGGCCAAGTCTGGTTAGTTTATAAGGAAGAAGCGGAAGCAGTAAAGAAGATCATGGATTATATATTTAAAACCACTTGAGAAATCCAAAGTAGAATTGTCTTTCTAAATCTTCCATGGAAAGAGGGAAAGGGAATGCTAAGCCTCCAGACAAACTTCTAAGAAGTCAGGAATTCTCTTCTTTCCCACGGTGCCACCCCAGCATCCTCTGAGACTGCCCGTAAGGCTCCTCATTTTTAGGCCTTGTAAGCACTAGAGAAACACTTTGGGGAGAGACAGCTAATTCTGTGGAGGAGCATGGGACCAGAAACCATAATCAAAACATTTTACCTTTTGTAAGACATTCTATAATACAGAAGAGCCTGCTAACCATGGTCGATTTTAAAAAGTAATAATTAACTGCAAATAAACATGACATACTTCAAAATTAGACAAATTATCACAATGTTTTCCCAAACTTTTTCATTTCTTAAGAGAACAGTTTTCATGAGAGGAACACACAATCCTTTGAAAGGGTTCAGGGTGGTTGTATATTTGAGCAAATGAGACCCTTTACTCATTCTTAAAAGATCTGGTCGGGCCAGCTGAGTGGCTCAGCTGGTTAAGAGCTCGCTTGGGAGCGCCAGCTCTGAGCAGCAGGGCTGTGGTTCGGATCCCACATTGAGGGCCAGTGACGCTGGCCCTCTACAGCTAAGATGATGAACAACAGCTGGACCTGGAGCTGGGCTGCTGTGAGTCGCCGGTGATGGTATAGGCTGTAGCAGGGCTGTAGTGGGCTGCCGTGAGCTACATGAGCGGCCGGCAGCTGGTGTGAGCTGGTGTGAGCTGCCGGGAGCCGCTGTGAGCAGCTGACCAATGACCCGCAACCGATCTGCCTCATCTGGGAAAGAGAACAATGATCATACCAACATGAAGCAAAGTCCTCCACAACTAGACTGAAGAACAAAAACAGCAATTTGTCTACCTGTCTTTTCCCCTTCCCTGATTTCCCAACGCTGTTCCCTCCCCCCAGTTCCCCCAAAAAATATTAAAAAAAAAAAAAAGATCTGGTCTTTGTCCAGATACCCTGGAGGTCTCAGTACCAGAATGCATTCAGGGGATTGATGCAACTGTTGGCCAAAGATATTCACAATCTACCCAGCAATGCCCCAGATCCTGGTCTGTGGTCCTCCAGGAAAGTGAAGCAGCGATTTCTTCGCTCCCTTCTCCAGCTCCCAACCCCACATGGGAAGTTCCGTAGGAGAAAAAGGCGTTGATGTGGCTGAGGAGGGTGATAGATCTTCCTTTCTCTTCCCAGAGGCTGAGTCAGATCTGGCATGATGCCAGGGTTTTCCCCAAGCCTCTCAATGAGCCCCTGAATCTCTTCCTACGTACGTACCAGGAGAGGCTGGAAGGAAAAAGAAGTCACAGGGGTTGAACTGACCTGATTTCCCAGGAATTTTACATAGACCTACTATGTCTCTGGATTTCTGAAATGAAACCAATACTCTAGGCCAGAGCTGAACCATCCCATGTGTGAGAGTGGAGGTTCAAGAGTAAAGCAGAGGGGAGCAAACCACCTTTCATTGACCCTCTCACTGCACTCCAAGCCCTGTGCTCAATGCTGCACACATCTTCATTTATTCCTCACCACAGCCCTCCAGATATTATTACTTTCTACTTCCCTATAAGACAATATGGAAGCCCATGAAGGTTAAGTCTTACTAAAAATCTCATAGTTCTTAGGTGTTGGTAACAGAATTCCAA